TTCTTGTCCACGCTTTTTTATATAACTTTGTAAAATATTCCCTTTACATAGATTTATGGTACTCAAGTCACACCAGTCTTGACGGTGATAATATTCTATTTTTAGACATCCAGTATCATCAAAATAAGCAGGATTTGTGAATACTTTTGTAACCATTTTTTGTATTTGTGTATGATCTAGAATCATATTTATGAAAACTGAGTTAGAATCAGATATTATTATTATTTCATAGCTTTTGTCTTTACAGTACTTTAATAAGTCTGCCATGCCTTCTGTTAATGGAATTTCTTCCATACACTTTTTTATGTCGTCTTCTTTTATCCCTGAAAAAAAAAAATACAGTCAAAAGACTTACCACTAAAATCACTTGATGGATAAACCCAAGGTCGAGACATTATATAAATGTTTATATATACATGTATAAATGTTTTGGATTTATAGCAAGCCTTATATACTATGAGAGTATCACAAATACATACTCAGGTAAAGAGCCTTAGAGGGCGCATTTTGAGATACCGACACTATTCACCAATTTTCACATTGAAAGTAAACAAGATGTAATGTGACACACTGTACACAAATATAGAAGATGTTTTATTTCCATTAAATGGGCTCACAAAGACCATATTACAATATAAGACATTATTTAATCAACAACAAAAAACAATAATCAAGTATACATACAAAAAAAAGAAAAGAAGCAGTTTGAACATGAATAAACTACACACACACATATAAATATATATATAAACAAGTCTAAATTGAAAACAACGTTCAAACCTATGATTGCATCGGATAAAAACTGCAATTTTTATACGAGTGCATGCAAAACAAATTTCTTGGTAGAGGGGTCTAAATTCAGCACAAACAACATTTTCCAAAAGACCTAAAAAGTGAAAAAGTATATTTTAACAAAACACATTTGACTAGCAGGTCAAACAACTGATGTTCTTAAATCCTGCTGACTGCCATTGGCGATTGCCAAATAAACGGATCACCAGATGTAACAAAATGGATCTTAACTATTAATTTAATACCAAACAGAAAACAGTAAACTTGCAAAAAGATGGTATACCGCAAACAAAAGGTGCAAAAATTAGTACACCATATCCGGATTTCGACAATTAATGCCTTTCAGTGATGTTAGGAATCGAAACGGTATTTGGAAGGCCATATAATTTACCTCAATTTAGGATGGACTCTTGAATTTTGAAGAGTCAAATAGGGTGAACAGATCATATAAACCCGAAGGGAAATATAATAAAATAAAAAATGTTGCATCTTTTTTTGGATGTCAAACCAGGAAAGTGGAAGGATAAATATATATATATACAAGTGCAATACGGTCAATATCTCCTTCTCAGGCACACCCCAACATGAGAAAGTGCTTTAAATAAATTGGAAATTTATTAGATATGTAAGTTAACTGCAAAAGCCACACAGAGGACGGTGCTGCATGGCAAGGTGGGAGATAGACGCACATGGTACACATGTATATAAATAGATCTATATGTTGCCTTCATCAATCAGATTACAAACAGATATTAATATATATTAACATTCTCTACATCAAGTAGCCAGGTCAGTTTCTAGATAGGAATCAAGTGCTTAAAGATAGGACAGAGTGAGCTAATCTTGGAGTTCATGCAGTTTCTCCTAGTTAAAGATGATCAACAATGGTGATGTGCATGAAAATAAAAAATGTTTTTCATCATTAATTTCATTTGAGGTGCACTTGAGACGTACTACGTTTTGACAAAATACGCAATCAAGTAAATTTTCTCCTCCGCTCAGGGGATCGCAAAAAATTAAGATATCTTTCAAGACCAAACTTTGTTTTGAAAGTGCTAAGTATAATTTTGCTTATGATATAAATCATTAGAACTAACCAATATCATATAAATATTTAAAAATAGACCCCATGTAATCTGTCCATCCTGTAGAACTATACATAGCCTCAATGTGATCAGGGAGTTTCCCATCTGGTGCCAATCTCTTCACCCATAAATCACTGTTTTCATCTATAAGCGTATGATCAAAGTCTATTGCAAGCAACATTTTTCTTGAGTTTTCCATCTAAAAAGTACATTATTTTAAATAATTAATAAAGTTTTTGGATTTCAATATTTATTTGAAAAAACATTAAAAAGATAGAAATATCTTAATACTAAAAAGGCATATCATGCTTATTTGATTAAAGAATGACAAACATAGAAATTATCTAGTATAAAACAAAATATCTGAAACAGTTTTTATCCTTTATGTATATTTTAGTTGTTAACCTTTTTGCAGTTTGCTACATGTATTAAAAACATTAATAGTTCCTGATGTCTTTTGTTAAAACTACACATGTAGGTTCAGTAATTCTATATTTCTATCAAGTGAATAGTACTTCATAAACTACATAATAATTTTTTTATGGTAACTCAACAGTGCTCTGAAAAACTTTCTTCCTGTTTCTCATTTATAATTTAACAGTACAACATAAAACTTTCCTGACATAATAAGGCAGTGGTCTCATAAGAAGCATTTATCCTCTTTATTATTGAGAGTATATTTTATAGTTGGTTCTATGCAAATGTTTGCAGTGAAGTCTTACATTGTTCTAGCTAGGACTTAAATGGTAGAGGGGCACAGTTTTGAAGATAAGGGCACATTAGCATGGTGTTTTTGACAGGAAAAATATAGTCCTTACATATCTTACTATATAAATCAATAAAGACAACTTGGATCGTCAATAAGTCAACACGTACTGTCAATAAGTCAAAAGAGACTGTCTAATAGACTATAAGTAAACTTGGACCATCTATAATGCCAACTCAGACAAAGTATAAAAGGAGAGTTTTGACTATTTAAATGATTTACGGAGTGTTTTAGACGAAAAAAACTGTCTGAAGAGAAATTTATAATGCAAAGTATAAAGAGAGAGTTTTGACGCCCTTTTGACTATATACATGACGAAAAAGACTCAGCCCGTCTATGAAGAGAACTCTATAAAGTCAATTCAAGATCACAACTTTTAGATTCAGGACAATTTGTATTGACATGCATCTGTCTATTGTTAAAGATTGAATGATGCTCCCTAGATTTATTTTTATTTGTGTTGTTTGAGTAAATAACGTTTTTAATGTTTTGGTAGATTCTTTTTTCTATTTTGCTTGACATATTTCATATCCTCAATTATTTTAAAGTACTGTGTTATAAGTACATGGTATGAAGGGTAATTTAATTTGAAATATAACATTTTACATAGAAATAGCCCAAACTCTATGTTTAAACTTTCTTCGAGTTGGCTTATTGACAGACTTTAGGTTTGAAAATACTAAATAAAGAATTCAACAAATAAATAAAACAAATTCAACTTCGACTTTTTGGGCTTAAATTAATGTTTAAAGGGGCACTAGCTGTCAAATTTATGTTCACCGATTTGACTCAAATTCTCATATTTGATTTATAACAATGTAAAACATTTATCCAAACTATTAAAAGTCTAAAATAAACAGTTAACAGGACATGGTCATGATAACACGTAACTTTGTTTCGTGTGTATTTTAGTCATAACCCCATCTAATTAACTATCGAGTTGACCTCCAAAGTCATCCGATGACCATATAAGCGATGTAAACATAAATAAAGATATAAATAGATTAAGCGAACTCGTGATATTGGATTTTTCTAGGTCTGTTTAATTTCATATTATAGATTAAAAATATATGTTTATCATCGTTTTTACCTGTATAAGAATGATTTTTTGTGGATCGGATCAGTCAATCAAATGATTTACCTTTGTTTCACTTTCAATGTTGTCATTCTTTTCCTTTAAATAACTTTACACATACAATTCACGTGTTATCCATCTCTAGCTAAGGGGTTAAATTGAAGTTCACATGAATAAGGATTCAATGAGGTCAAATTATTCACTTGAAAGTGAATAATTCATCATCAATGTTTCTTAGCTTATTTTGACAAAATTGAACCATACTGGCGGCTAAAAGCGAATAATTATTTCACTATTTCACTTTCATTAATGATTGAACAAAAAAAATCATAAATTAGATTTTTTATATATCTCGTAGCTAGTGCCCCTTTAAAATAGATTGATAAAGATAAGTAAAAATTTGAATTCACGTTAAACTAATTATTTTGATTAATTTTTCAAATTCAACAACAAGTAAATGATACTGTCAAATAAAATATAACATTTAATCATTTATAATCATTTATCAAATGGTTCAAATACTCTTTAAATGCTTTGTCCAAGTTGTCTTTTTAAACGGTCCGAGTTCACTTTAGGTACCAGTCTTGTATTACAACTCCTGTTTCCGGTGAAATTTTTTTTTTTTTTTTTTTTTTATTTTCTGTTTCATTAAAAGTTTATGCTGAATTGAAAAATCTCTTTAGATTTAAAAAAAATGTTGCATCTTTTTGGGGATATTAAACCAGGAAAGTGCAAGCATATCATGTTTACTGGAAGTGGTGCGGCCTAATAAAAACAGCAAACAGAAAGTAGAAAAAGGTAGTTTTGACTTCAGGGTTTCCTACTTTTTATCCCTCTTGGCATGAGGCACTTTTTTCCCCTTTACTACATACGTCATTTGTACATGATATGTACATGAAAACAATTTTCTATGTAGCATTTTAATTTTAAAAAATTTCAAAGATCAGCTGTTTAGCTTGTAAGCCTATGGCGCAGTCAATTAAAAGACTGCAACCTTTATAGATGGTCTGAGTTGACTTATTAGTCGGTCCGAGTTGTTCCAACGAATAACTCTTGACTGACAGATTTTTGTTGTTGTTTTTTTTTCCGTTTTTTTGTGGCGAAAATAATTCGAAACCTATGAATTAACGTTCACTTAACATTGCCATTCTGTCTTATAAATTGCCTATTTGTATTATGTAGGTCGTTCGGTTTGTATTTACTTTACAAATTTCTTTCTACTCCGGAAGTTTAAATGTTTTTGTTTGAGGTCAAGGTCTTTTTTCCTACAGGAAGTGGATATGACGTCTATCTATTTAGTTACATGGCTGTTTTCCCTAACAACGTCATTCTGGAGCGGTGATCTATTTTTATTTTTTTTACAATGGCAACAAGTGTAATGCACGGTCGCAGAAAAGGCCAAAATAGAGGTAAGGGTTTTATGAAAATCGACCCATTACTTTACTATTCCATTCTATTTTAATATCTTCATATATAAACAATTTAGGGGAATTGTAATCCTTACCATCATTCTCACACTATCAATCTGGACTATGACATGACCTTGTTGAAACAGTCATTCACAACGACCCTTATCTTCTGCCCAAATCCTATTGTCAGATAAAAGATTTAATATGAGGCAGTGGTTACTTTTGGCGATCAGACTGTCAGATATACAAATTTGCAGGAAATTGTATGCCTTAACAGCAGCCACTGTCAACTGGATCTTGTTTCTGTCCCATAGTATGGCCTTCTTTTACTTTAAGGGTCCCTATACTTTTAGAGTTAGGGTTCATTCATGGTTATGGTTAGGTAAGGGGATGTTCTAGGTTATTGTTAGGTTTTGGGTTAGAGCTAGTGTTAGGTTTAGGTATAGGTTAGAGCTAGTTTTAGGTTTAGGTATGGGTTAGAGCTAGTGTTAGGTTTAGGTATGGGTTAGGGTAAGATTTAGGGTTAAGGATAGTTTAGTACAGCTTTATATGGTTTGGGACCCCTAAAGTAAAAGAAGGTCTTTAGTATACATGCCAATACAAGAGATTCCAATTTCAGTTTATGAATGAACTGCCCCGTCTTACCTATGGTCATTTGGGAAACAGCATCATAGAACATTGTGACGTAAAGATATTTGCTTTTTGACAGCATTTTTTTTCCATGAGAAAGCAGCAATTGGAAGATCATGTATGGGGTAGAGGGCAGTATGTAGTATGGGGTAGAGGACAGTATGTAAGAAAGTCCATCAACAATGTGATGTGCAAGTGCAAATGTTCATTATTGTTGTGAGAAAAATGTTAAAATATTTTGGATTCACTATAATAGTATATTGATTTTTGTAAAGATGTATTCACACTTGTATGCAAATTGTCTGCCATTACTTAAAAACCACACAAGTTCCACAAAATATTGCATCACAATTTTATAATTAAAAAAAGTGATTGTTCATGATGTCAGAAGGTTATCAAGAGACTGATCTTGGGTCATTTCAGCTACATAGTACATTGTAAATACAGAAAAGATTAATTTATTTTCTTAATATCATAGAGGACTGTATCCTCGTATCAATGATGCCACTATCATTAGATGATTATCCTGATATTGTGATAAACACTGAACAATCAACCAAACCTATATATTTTATGCATCCTCTTGAAGTAAAAGTAAAAATAAGTCTTTGTTTTGGGGATAAATAATTGTCATTTTTTTTTTTTATTAATTTATGTTATCATTAGGTACTGAAAGTCACCTTTCATAGATAAGCAGGCTTTACTCCTGCAATACTATGAGTATATATTTACAGTATTTTAAATCAACATTTATTTTTTGAACTGTATATAATTCTGGTAAAAAAAAAAAATCTGTGGCGTCTATCTGTTGCAGATGACAGGTAATTCTGAAATTTACAGGAGAGTTTTAAATGAAATCCAAATGTTTCTTTTGTAAACATATTCCCAATTGATATGCTACATGTGTATATATTTTTTTGGTTTCAGTGCAACAATCACTTTCTTGTTTCACTTAAATTACATTGTAAAGAATGGAATGTGTACCTAGCTATTATTCTAATTTCTGAGTAACAGCTTGGATGGAAAATTTTCATGTTTTTGGTTACTTGAAAATGTGTGGAATATATTTTCACATCTTAAACCTCAGACCATTTTTAACCTCCATTTACAGTTTTTCTACCTACAATATCATTTTCAATATCATCTAATTTACTATGCTTAAATAACATGGAATGCACAGGCAAGACCATAATATTCCACTAAACTGAAAACTAGAATAAACTCTATACTAAGATTGAAACAGTTCAAAAGTCAATATAATTTTTCTACTGACAGGATCATTAATATAAAGAAAAAGTGTTGGCTTCAAATTAAAAAGACAAATTTTTTCTATACTTATATTTAGGCACTCCAGAAATGCCAATAGAACAACCTGGAATGAGAATGGGGGAAGGTGTAGATCTACGACAGGTGACAGTCTTGTCTAAAGGTGACTGGGAAAGAATACAGACACAGCTCCACAGAAAACAAATCGAAGAAGATAGAATAAGAAGAAAACAAGCTGAAATTGATGAAAAGAAAAAGAAATCAAAGGAAATGGTTGATACTTGGGGAAATACAATCATAGTGAGTATTGAGTGTGGTTGTCATTGCCATGTAACTGAAATAATATAGGGTTATCGCATGGATATTGGTGAATATTGTCCAAAGCTGATTTCTATATTTCACAAGCTTGCAAGTGAAATATGAATTGCACACTAACATTTTGTTGTGTTCTGTAGGAAATTTTAAATTATTGTATTGCTACAGATAAATATTTTGTGTCTTCTTAGTCTACTGACCATAGTTAAAATGGTACCTATCCTTAGAGTTTAATTAGAGCACAATTAAAAGAAACTTAATACAGGTAAAGAAAAAAAAGAAACCCAAAAAACAGCTTTGATAACAATACACCATGTTTGCAGTTCAAAACATAGTATTGATTTTTGGCTTTACAAAAAATAGGACATACAATGTACAGGGTTAGGGTTTGTAACATAGAATTATAATAAATTTTACTTTAACAGGGTCAAAGACAAAGGAAGTTAGAAGCCAGAACAATTCGGGAGCAAAAAGAGGAAGAAGAGAAGAAATTAGTTGACCTTGAAGAGGCCCAATACCAGGCCCAGCAGAGGAGGGAGGCCATAGAGAAAGCTAAAACTCAGCAGTATTATCAAACAGATCGAGTTAAAAAATTCCATGTAAGTAATCTGGGTATTCAAGAGTTTAACATCACATTTTAAAATATTCTGTATTATATATAGGTTGTTTACACCTAAATATATATAACAAGGTAACAATGTAGAATTTCTATTTTTTCTTTCAAAAATCAAAATCATGGTTGGATGGGTCTGTAAAATTGTTCTTTCTATCTGGCAGTGGTCAACTGATAGAAATCTATTTTTAGCTTATATATCTTTATTATTTGTAAGTAAGGTTGAGTTTTCTTTATGCATGCAGTAAGACCATTACCTAAAATGATTAATCAATTACAAGTATGATGGAACTTTTGATGTACTAATAAATGATGTTTTTTTTTTAAGAATATTTCATTTGACAAGCAACTCACTGTATTTAACTTTGGCATGATTCAAATTGGTTCAACTAATGCTGAAAATTTATATGAAAGGTCAAGTAAAAAAGAAACTCAATTATAAGAACTCAAAAAGTAATTTTACAGATTGGAGATCTGTGGCATGTCAGTTACTATAAGCAAGTCATTTTAAGGCGTGCACTTTTATGATTTGTTTATCATAAAATTGAATATATTTGTGCTTTAAAATTGTTAAACACATTCTTAAAAAACTATTTGTTGTTGACAGAGTGCATTACAATTAACTGAAGTCCTCAAAGAAAGAGAAGCACAGATTGAACTTAAAAGATTAAAAGATAAGGCCAATATAGGAAAAGATAATGAGTACCTGGAGCTAGAAAGACGAGAGTATGAACAGTCAATAAAGGATGACCAGGCTAAAGCCCTGGAGAGAATAATCTCAGCACAAAATACAAGACAGTTTCAAGTAGCTCAGTAAGTATACTATGATAGGGAAAAATCTGTCTGTATGCATTAAAAGGCATTCTCATGTAAAGACTGTAAACATCATTCTTATATAAAACTACAAACTTTTAGTATTGATTACATGAGGCTGTATTAGTGTATTTGAATTTAAACAGAATTTCCATGAATGTGCTGAATTATAAACTACAAAAAAGAGGGACTTACAGACTAAGGGCTTAAAAAACAGCAAGCCAACACTCCCAACAGGACAGATCAACTTTAATAGAAGGAAAACTAAATAGATATAAGAAGATGTGGTATGAGTGCCAATGAGACAACTCTCCATCCAAGTCAAAATTTATAAAAGTAAACCATTATAGGTCAAAGTACGGTCTTCAACACGGAGCCTTGGCTCACACCGAACAGCAAGCTATAAAGGGCCCCAAAAATTACTAGTGTAAAACCATTCAAACGAGAAAACCAACGGTCTAATCTATATTAAAAACTAGAAACACTTATGAACCACATCAACAAACGACAACTATACTGAACATCAGATTCCTGTCTTAGGACAGGTGCAAACAATTGCAGCAGGTTTAAATGACAGAATTATGAAATAAAATAGAAGACTGCTCTCATATAATGATTTTTATGCCCCCGCCGAGGGGGGCACCTGGGGCAGTAAGTGTTACCCTTGTCCGTCTGTATGTACATACGTCCTGAAATTGGTTTTTGTTCTCTAACTTAAGTTTGCATCAACCAAATGTTATGAAACTTATACACAATGCTGATTACCACAAAACTCAGATCATTTTCGAATTTGGGTGACTTCACTTTTACCGTTCTTGAGTTATGTCCTGTTATAACATAATATGCAAGCATGGACATAATCTGTTTCCCATGGACACATTCTCCATTTATTTTAAATTGAAAGAAAGAATGGGGTCATCATAATTTTTTTATGTTACAATACAAAATAGTTAAAATTAATATTACTGTACATTCTTTGATTAAAAATATATGAGATATCTCACCTTATAAAGCTTGATTTTAATCATTAAAACATATTCAGTTTATTGTCAAATCTTTTGTAATAATAACATAAAATCACAAAAAACGATTTATATAGATTGCATCCCTGCCTCCATAAACTCCATACTACCTTATTGTGCATCTTATTATTATCAAAACTTGCAAGACTTCACATCCTAGTGTCATTCTTGCAAGGAAAAATCACTACTGGTAATTGTGATTTATAAATGGGAAAGGTGCTACATAAATTCCATTGTGTGCCATTTGTGGTATTCAAAAATGGCGATATCTGTAGTCATCTCTGGAGCTTCATTTCTGTGAATTTGTTGTTTATATATCTGTTTAAAATAAGACAGACAAATATTGTTTTTTCTTCCCTTCTTGTTTTCTTAATGTAAGAGTATTAATTGTGTACATTCAGAGTTCAAGAACATCTAAAATCCAGAGACTTGGAACGAAGAGAAGACAGAAAAGAAGGAGAAGAACTGAAGAAATTAGGAATCCAATATCATCAAGAAAAGGAGAGATTAGAAAATATAAAAAAAGATGAAAAACAACAGCTTAAGGTGGATAATGTGAAACAGATCAGAGACAGAGATGCTATTAGAAACATGCAGAAACAACAGGAAGAGGTAAGATCAGCTATTCACTTAATGTAAAAAGACTCTATACAAATTTTGTCATGCCATACCATCAGCTATCCTATTAAAGTACAAACGTTGTACATGTATCTTGTCAAGCCTTAATTACCATCAAGTTATGTTTTTAAGTTGTACAAAATGCTTGTCAAGTTATCTAACCCTGGCTATCAATACAAGTCGATGAAAACATTCAAATGGTCAGAAATGTTTCTTTTATTAATTAGATCTGTGTACATTGTAATATAAATGCATTAGGTGTATTTTAAAACTTACATACTTTAATTTTTTTTAGGATGAACTAATCAGTATGACCTTCTACTTTTATTTATGTTAAAGATACGATATATTATATTTTTGTTTTCTGGCTAAAACGAACTGCAGATCACATTTGTCACACTTTCATTGGTCTATTTATGCTTGAAAAAAAAATGGTTTGACTATATCTTTACATTTTTGCTTAGAAGTAGCTGATAATACATTGAAAAAATCTGCAATATTTCTAAGAAAGCTTATAAATGTTTTGTTAAATAACCCTTTATAGGATGAATTGATATTTTCCTAAAGGGAGATAAACCATTTTGCTTTTTGATAGGATGAAGATGAAGAGTGTAGAATATTTGCTGCTGCAAAGAGGAAAATGATGAAACTAAGAGCTGAAAAAGAACTGGAAATTCATAAGTAAGTCTCTTTTCCAAAAGCAAATTCAACTACAACAAATGTTTTTTTTCCTGAAATTATTTCATATAAATCTTCACAGTTCAGAAAGCTTGAAATGATCTGCTTATTAACATATGATAGTTAAATATAACACATGTAGCTTATTGATAAATTTAATATTGTTTTTTCTCTCTGAATAGGTTGTGAAAATCTTCCTTATTTTAACTAATATTTTTTTTTTGGCTAATGTAACAATATGACAAAGTACTTTTTTATTTATCTTTAACTTATATGATTACCCTTAATATAAGTGAGCACTAGCTGATGTTCATTGTTTGATTGTTTTTGTAATAAAAATGTAAATGTTAATGTTTGATGTCTAATTTTAAATCATGACATTAGTGTGTAAGTTTTATTGGAATTATTACTAACAATGACATATTAGTAGATAAAAAAACAGGACAAAATCACAAATGAATAGAAGTAGTGAATTAAAGATGTCTAATAGCAATCAACTGAATGCCACTTATCAGTGATGGTAATATTCCTACAAATCACAGTAAGGTCTTCCTTATCAAATGTAAACTATTCTATATAAGAACAATCATATTTAACTTTAGTGAGAAACAGAAGAATCTGGACAGAATTAGAACAAAACTTGCTGCTCAGATGACACAGAAAGTTAGCGATGAAGATGACAGGATACATAAAGCTGTCCAAGAAGCAGAGGAAAAGAGAGAAAAAGAGGAAGTTGAAAAAGAATTAAAGATGAGAAAAGCCATGAAGGAGTCAGCTGATCATAGACATGTACAGGTAATTTATCATAGCAATGATGATATGGATAGGAAAAATCAAGATGTGGAAACCAGAAAATAGGGGGGAAACTACAAGAGGGGATTGGGGAATTTTTAGTCTCATGCATTGTATTTTGTTCAAATACTACCATGGCAAGCATAATCTATGTCTCATTTGTCCTTTTCTATTTTTTATCATACTTTTCTCCCAGTAAAATCAATATGTGCTGATTATTTTATTAAAAGAGAGTTAATGTTAAATATATTAAATTTGATACAAGACCAATGGTAAGATATTAATAGGATACATATATTTCTTTCTTTATGTAATAATTATCAAATTGGAAAGACCCATTGTTTGATGAATAAGTGAAAAAGTATAAATTTTATAAAAGATATTGTTTAGGTCGTCAATTGCTTTAATGACTTAAAAATGAAGAATTTTGTTATCTGTTCTTGTACTTATGTTTAACAAAATAATGCAAAAGCTGGTTGATTTACAGAAAAATCAGTTTAGTTATCTCCCCTTAATTGAACACAGCTCTGCAAATGTAACCTTTCTTGGAAAAATCCCAGATTGTTAAATTCCTTAATAATTCTCAAACTTTGATATCTTTAGGAACAAGATAATGGGTTTTTAGAAATTGTATTCACAAAAAACAGTAATCAATTCTCAAACTGTTATAATTTAAAAAACAAGAATAAGAAGTGGTATGATTGCCAATGAGACAACCAAATGATATAGATATTAGCAGCTATAGGTCACAGCCTTCAACAATGAGAAAGACCTATACTGTATAGTAAGCTATAAAAGACTCCAATATGACAAAATGTGAATCAAACACAAAAAGCAATGGCTGGATTTATAAGAAAACAAATATGAAGACATGAACCAATAACTACCACTGAACTTCAGGCTCTGATTTAGGACAGGTACAAAAAAAATATGGCAGGGTTAAACACCTTTGTCAGCACTCAACCCTCGCCTCAAAACAAGAACATACTATAAAGATCAGTTTGAAATGACTTAACTCAATATATAGATTGGTACATAACACAAAAACAGCTAATATAAAAACAAAAAACACAAAAGTACCATTTAACATAAAAATGAGGAGATGTGGTATGATTGCCAATCAGACAACTATCCACTAAAGTTCAAATGAAGTAGATGTAAGCAATTATAGGCAATCGTACGGCCTTCAACAATGAGAAAAAACCATACTGTATAGTCGGCTATAAAAGGCCCTGACATGAAAAATATGAAACAAATCAATTAAGAAAACTAACGGCCTAATTTACGAAAAACAAATATGGCAGACATGAACCAACGAGAATACTCAATTACTGAAAGCTAGTTCAAAGCCAGTTACAATTTATAACAAAATCATTTTCTCCTAGACTTACATGTAATGTTTGATTTATAAAGATATGAAACAGAGTTATGCAACTTATGCAAGATGGCAGCCTGATTGATCTTAGTTTTTATTGATCTACCATGAGTTATCTAAGCAAGTGATAAATTGTATATCACCAGTGGGATCCAGGAATATTTTTCATGAGATATTATTTTTCTGAATTTTAAGCTCAAAGAGGCAGAGGACAAGAAAAAAGAACTAAGGAGACAGGAATTAGAAACGATTAGAATCAGACAAGCTGCTGATGAAATTTTCAGGAGAAATGAGGAAGAAAAACGTGTGAGGAAAAGGGAAGATAATGAAAACCTGAAAAATTTCCATTTTGACCAAACGGTATGTTTACATCTTTGGTGTTTTAAGGATCCATCACTCTTATATATTTGTTTTATTGACTTTAGTTAAGTTTTATGAGTACTGAGTCTGAGTATTGCCAACATTTTAGTTTAAAATTATTGTTTTATTTGTCATTACTTTTATTTTTAATTTAAAAGAATTCCCAAATTTGAGTGTAATTTTTGTCAAATTCTTATAATAAACTATAATTAATTTTTTGGCAGAGTTCTCAAAATCTTTTTTTATCTGGTGGCATTTGAATAAAATCTGCTGGTTCTAACTATTATTTCTATTGCAAAACATCAAAATTGTGTTGGTCCTTTTAAAATTTTGGTGGTCAAAACCTTCAGACCACCACTTATCGAGAACTCTGTTTTTGAATTTTCAAAGTTCTTATTTTGCCAAAATTGATATCACAAATCCATAAAAAAAGAAAATGTATAAACTCAGCTCTTTGGGTACATTTTTATTTAATCCCCCTTATGTGTTCATCATTTCACATACACAGAGTTTATGGAAATTGAGCAAACTCTGGCTTATAGGATATGAATCTTTAGCAGACAGGTGATCAGGAAAAGAGGGTACCTGTATTGTATAATCAATTCCTCCTTCAGCTTTCAAATCAGAACCTTTAAACTTTCAAGATAATTTGTACCTGCATTGACAGACTTACTTTGTGTGTACATTTAGAAATTTTTTAAAGATATTTCCTGATGGAGAAACTTGTTTGATTTCAGCAGCCTTTTCATCTAAATGAACTAATGTTTTGACAATTTTATGTATTTAAACAAATAATTCCTGTTAGGTGTAGGTTTCAATATCTTTTGCTTATTCATAAAACTAAATATAAACCTTCTCTTCCCTTAATAGCTTTCAAACAGATGCTCATTAATACTTGTGTCATTACAACTTACAAACCATAAGTATTTCAGACTAGCTATTCGACTCTCTCACACATTTTTAATAATCAAAATGTATTCTCCATGTCAGTAAATCTCTTTCTAATTGATTTCTCTGAATTTCAAACATAACGGTACTGTAGACTTAAAATGTGCATTGAGCAAAATAACATTATTTTGATGGTATTTGTAAATAGAAGGCTTTAGAAGCATAGATACTTATTTTAAACATTAATCACTGTTCTTACAGTTTGATTACAGAATTCTTTTTTATTTTCTTCATCTTATTTTCATTTTTACATCTTTTTGCAGAATGATAGAAAGGGTAAAGAAATTGGAAAGAAACAGAAAGAGTTAGCCTTAGATAGAGCCAACCTTGAATTAATAGCCATGGAGGAAGAACAATTCCAGGAATATGCTACAAAAGTTATTGAACATTGTGAAAAAGGTGGCCGTAATGTGTATCCTCTGAGGAAGGCTGCTCAAACTGGAGCAGGGGGAGGAGTTGGTCCTAAGTTTGAGGGTAAAGGAGGAATTAGACCCAGCTACATGGTTTCAGATAAAACTGGAAGACAGATGCCTCATTATCAGAGAGATTCGACTGAGGAGACCAAGGATAACATTTATGGAAAAGCTCCATCCAAAAAGAGACTTGGATTTGTATGGTAGAGAAAAAAATCTGTAAACAATTCAGTGACATGTTATTTATGTGGCCATTTTATTTAAATGGCTTTTATAAAAACACTACTGGTCATTTGTTAAAATGGAAACATGTGTTGTCTATTCAAATTAACAACATTTCATACATGTTATGTTTTTAAAAGGGAACAAATGTATCATAAGTTTTGTATTATTGACTGTCAGATTTTACAAACAATTTTTCATATGAGTTTTTTTTTTTACAAAGATAAAAACTTGTTTAATACAAAGATGGATGAAATAAAGAGACAATTAAGTGCATTTTATTGTAAAAAAAAATCCATTTTAAACATTCAAATAAAGGACAAGAATCTTAAAGTGTTTAAGTACAGTAATTTTAATTTAGATTGTGGGTTATTATGTGTTAGTGCTTTTGTTACTAAACTGGTGAATATGAAAATAAAGCATCAATGAATTCTCATATATCTGACATTGTTTTTATTCCCATGTTATCAATGATATCTAACTATTTATTGTCCAGTTTTAATTAAAGCAATCACTGTGATAACTTATGCATTTTATGTGTGAGAGAGTTGTGTATATATACTTTTAGACATATATGTTTATTTTCTATTGTTACTATGTCACATTTAAACCTATATAGAAAAATCATGTTTAAAAATTAAAACTTTCCTTTTATGATTTTTTTCATTTTTTAACATGCAATATCAGTTATATTAATGACTTTTTTTAGTTTTGTCATAATTATAATCAATGGATTGATAAATTATTGCTTACTGAACTTCTAATGTGAACTATTTCATGCATAGTCAGGACAAAAACCAATTGACAATTCCAAAAATGTAGATCAACTGAGAAGCTGGGCAGAAATTGGGACTACCACTGGATTATGTGGGTATTTGACAGAAACAGAACATTTATCTTGCATCAGACCAAGAATAAAATGGAATATTGTAGAAGGCATTAAATTAAATGCCAATAGTGCAGGAGGATATCATTAGGGATTAGGCTGAGAAAAATAGGCTGCATTGTTTTATAAAAATAGCAAAAACAGACAAAAATATATCCATAGCAAATCCTTCTATGATTGACTATGCTTTTATGACTTCAGAATATATTTTTTATTGTGCACATGTTAAGCATTTGTATAGAATGTGCTTATAATGAATAAATTACAATAGGCCATTGATAACTGGCAGGTATTTAAGCCTTATATTTTAGAGGGTAGAAGACCTGGAGGCTTCATACCTTGTATACAGATGCCCTATGTTACAAAGTTTACAAAGAGTCCTTGACCTCATTTTCATGATTCAGCTACTGCTTAAGTTAAAGTTTTTTGTCATGTGAATATCTCACTTATCATGAGTAATAGGATAACTATATTTGGTATATGGGTTCCTTGGAAAGTCTACATGTCAGTCAGACAAGGTTAAATTTCACCTCACCTTGACCTCATTTAATGGACCAGTGATCATTGTTAAAGTTATGTGATTAGGTCTCAGATACTGTAAGTAGGTAAACTATGATAATAATTTTATTTATAGTGCAACCTGATATAACATTTTTACATACATGTATACACAGTCAATCGGCCAGCCTTCAAATTAATATCTATAACAAGTACTAATATTTGAAATATGAAATTTATACTTCAAGAACATTTTCAAACAAGATTATTTATATGTCATGATGAGAAAGTAACTGAGCTCGGATTTTTGAAATATTGAATATATAGTTTGACACTAGTTTACAGTCAGTAGTAAGTAATTTAATGAGTATTTCGTCATCAGAAAGAACGGAAAAGTCTATGTTGTTACTTGCTGATAGTCAGCAAAGGCGTTGTTTCTTTCATACAAATATAAAGGACATTGAACTAGAAAATGTTTTTCGTCCTCAACGGATACATTGTCATAACAAACTTTGCAAAAACGTCTATTTGACGGGATACCACGATAACGCCCAAGTTTTAATTCCAATGGAAAAGTTCCACAACGCATTCTGGCTAAAGTCGATCTCTGTTGTCGTGTTATATTAGTGGTTATGTAGCTTTTTACGAATGGAAATCAGATAGGCAAAACACAGGGAAAAAACAAGAAATGGTAAAAGCTAACAGACTATTAAGAAGTGCGCAAAGGGCTAATGCATCTCGGAAAAACTCCTTCATAGAGAAAATTATGATGGCTTCTAAAAATGACAACAAGCTATTCCATCAGCTGATACAAAATCAAAGAGGTGGCAAAAAAGTGACCACAGACATTATGATTTTTGATACCAAAGAACAGACAGAACCCGAAGATATATTGGCAGGGTGGAAAAGCTACTTTGAAGATCTGTATAAAAATCACAATACTGACGATGAAACTGATTACAACAACGAAAGGTTTATTCTTGCCTCTATGCAGAACGAAATTATTGAGCGAATAGAAACCATTAGGAATGAAGAAATAAAACAAACAAATGAAGAGGAAGTAAAACTGTCTATTCAAAAGCTAAAAACTGGAAAGAGTCCAGGATCCGATGGAATATCAGCTGAACACCTCAAAAATATGCCAGTTGAACTACTACAATACATCATTAACATCATCAACCTCATTTTCACAGAAAAGGATGTCCAATCTACACTGAAAGAAGGTGTGTTAACTCCTGTACTAAAGAGTGGGAAAGATAAGATGTATCCTGAAAACTACAGAGGCATAACGGTGACAAACTCCTTCTCCACATTGATTGAAAGTATACTTAAAGACAGAATAGAACCCTACCACAACAAAGTAAACTTCAACGTGGATTTACCGAAAAATCATCCTCACTAAATGCCGCCTTTATTGTAACTCAATGTGTAGACTACTACAAAGAAATACTCGCACAACTTGTTCTCGACATTAGATGCTCAAAAAGCATTTGACAAATTAAATCACGAAATACTGTTTAATAAACTGTACCATGATGGTATAATTGGCAACACCTGGATTCTATTGAAAAACATGTATAAAAACGTTACAGTTATAGTTAAATTAAATGGGATAATACTATGTCACAGCAATTTATTCAGAGACGAGGAGTAAGACAAGGAGCAAAGCTTTCCACCATACTCTACAAAAGATACAACAACATCTTAGAGGCTTTGGATAGAGCTGATTTAGGGGCAACAATAGGCAACATAAGTGTAGTGGCACCAACTTGCGCTGACGACATAGCGCTATTAGCCAGTAATAAGCATGAGATACAATCTTTATTAGATATTGTACATGATACCACAAAGAAAGACCTTGTCACAATTAATCCAAACAAGTCAGATTTAGTGCCGTTAACAGCAAAATATGAGAACTTTTCTATTCAACTTGGAAATGATAAAAGTGAACAAAAGTCAGAAACAAAACATCTAGGACTAGTCAGAGACTCCAAAAATAAGTTAAACATAGAAGATAGGTTAAAAACAGAAAGAAAAACTGTCTACGCAATGCTAGGACATCATGCACGTAAAGGAATGTCACCAGTTGTTGCACTTAAAACATGGCAAACATATGCAATTCCAAGATGCTTGTACGGTATAGAGATTATGAACTACACAAAAACTGACATTCAAAAGCTGGAAAGATTACAGCTACAAGTTTGTAGACAAATACAGGGTCTGCCAAATAGAACAGCAAATGCCGCCACCTATGCTTTGTTTGGGGTAGAGCCAATACAAGCAACCGTCGATCGTTTTGCTCTTACTTTTTTTCGGAGGCATTATTCAGGATCATACTAGCATCGAATTTGCGATCATAGAAAGGCAATTATGCATGTCAGCACCAAACAATAATAACTTTGTTAACAGACTAAAAGCCGTTCTGGAAAAAATATTGTCTACCAACGGCACATGAAATAATGAATAACAAACCATCAAAAGAGACATGGAAAATAACTATAAAAGAGGCAATAAACATGCATTGGGAGAAACAGTGGTTGACAGAAAAAGAAAACAAAACTATAATGCAATATCTAGAAATAAATTCACTACCTATAGGAAGGCCTCATTCCATCTGGCAGCTATATATAGTACCCAATACAACAATAGAAGTTAAAAAGGCAGAAATCAAAGCGAGGTTAATTACAAGAACCTACACCTTACAATCAGACCGAGCGAAATTCACCAGAGGTCGAGAAGATGACAAGTGGTTGCTATGTGAAACAAACCGTGAAGATACAAATCACTTTCTGCTAATGTGTCCGGCCCTAAAGACAGAGCGAGATAGACATTTATCAGTACTAAAATCCTATATGCGTAATAACACACCGCTTGGAACATATGATAAGATAGAGGCACAAGGATCTCTTATACAATTTATCCTAGATTCATCTGCAACCAAATTTAACGAGCTTTTCAAACTAAAGAAATCCAAATATAAGGATATTGAAGCAATGACAAGAACCTTGTGTTACCGCCTGCATATTAGACGTACCATTTTAAATCAGACCAAGACTTAACTGGACTATTACATAAGGTCAGATTATATTAAATATCAAAGTGATAATTTTAAGTAACAGATACTTGTGAAAGACATGTTTCAAGAGACATTGTACAAAGAACAAATTTTTACAGAAGTGACCAGTGCAACAAACTTTAATATGTATATATTGTACAGTGCCGGTGGCCTTTATACGGGTGATGGTGCTACTAACAGTAAGTTAAAACTAATTATATATAAGTCCTTGTAAATATTCATATATGTAAAATTTATAAACATATCCTTCGGGAGTGCTTCTTAGATAGGAGGAACCTACCAGTAAACAGTAAAACAGTAAACTGCTGTGTTTCAAAGTTTGTTTCAAGACATTTAAAAGTTCGCAATTTTGGCATGTTCATAACATCCAGTTTCCATTTTTCGTGATGCTTTTGATGGAGCAAAAGTTCTGAATAGTTGGCAATAAACTTTACGCTAAGTCCATTTGTGTAATTATTGTTCAACAAATCCAAAAGTTCACATTTTTCCATCAATGACTTCAGCTCGTTGTACCATGTTTCCCTATGTTTTTCTGAGAAAGTTGAATCCAATTGGAAAATACGATTTGGAATTCGACTTGCGTGCATACTTGCTATTCTATGCCAAAGTGTTATCATGTTACACTGGCGACGGATATATGCAGGAGTCCAACTCATATCACCACAAATAGCCGGAATCGGACTACATTTCCCAACTCCCATAAATGTCCTGATTGCTCTGTATTGGAGTCTTTCAATATTATCGTAAGGCTTGTAACCCCAGACACCAGATGCATAGTCCATGATTGGGATAACTGTACTTGCGAATAATTTGGTGTATGTTTCGTAATCAAAACCATTCGTCCAGTCAATCTAAAGGTAAAAAAACTAAAACCTCAAAGAAATCGCAACAGAATTAATTTATCTGTTTTTAGCATTGTCTATGTATACTTTGAGTCATATTAAAAGTCTTCTTTTGTATTTTATGTGGAAAGTGGGTAAAAATGGTAAAATGTATGACCCCTGCCGGAAATTTCGGCTAATTTCCAAAAAAAGACTATCATAACTTTTGACAATTTTAATTAAGATTAAAATGATGACAGACTTAAAAAAATCAAGTAATAGTTTACAACACATGGAAAACTATTCTAACAACATGTAATAGGATAAAAAAAATAATGAATTGTGATAAAAGAATACAAAATCTTACTTTATA